AGTGAATGCTAAGAATATCCTAAGGCTTTTCAACTAGAGGGACCTCTTCAAACAAACAAACGAAAAAAAAAATTGATTTCTCAGATGTCATTAAAGTCATTTTGCTATCTGATAAATTTAAGAAATACAAAATAATTTTTAAAACTATAAATGCAGTAGTGTTTTTAAATTATAAAATTGTATTAACAAAAGCACCTACTGATATGTGAAAAAAAATAGTATAGTAGTAAACGTGTATGAGACATATTTATTTCCTCTGCAGGGAGTGCTTGGTGCTAATGTGGGTCCAGCTCCCTGCCTCCACACAAAGGTCCCCATAAGGCACTCATCCAGTTAAATTGAATGTACCTCTTTCTGTTTCTTCCATGTACTCCACAAAGCAGGACATGGAGGGGAAAACTTACAGGAGGTTGAGAGAGGGCATAGGAATGTAGCACAAAAATATGACTTTAGTTCACACTTCACTATATATTAAGCCCCCAAGAAATTGTCAGCTCATCATTAGCTCCTAGAAGGAGATTTAAATAACCCACTGTGCTTATTGTTAAGGAGATTTTTAATGAGTTAGTGGGAGAAGTCTGGAGAGGTGGAGAGGACTATCACAGAAGAGTAAACATGGTCTCAGGAAGAGGACAGCAATTACAGATCAAGTCTCCAGGTGGAAGAAATGGTGGCCAAGGATTCATTCCGAGAAGGAGTACAAGTTAATTATGTTACAAATTCAGTCTAGCTCCAGTTGGAGAAAAAAGGAGTAAGAAAATGTAGTAAGCATCTAGTTGTGTAACATGATCTGAGAGGTGAGATAAAGTCAAAGTTTTCGAAGTGGAGCATTAAGATATTGGATGTAACAAACAGAACTTAACACATATATTCCTGATGCAGTGATGTGCTTGAGAAGATCAGCTCTAGCAGAAAGATGCCTTCGAACAGCTTAAGAGTTCAGGGTAAACACCTAGGACAGACCTTGGAAACAGACCCCAAGATACATCTTTTTTACCCTGCAGTGGGCTTTTTATTGTTTGGTTACAATAAGAAACATTGCAATAGGTAAGAGAAATTACTTAAATCTTAGGAAGTTAGGAAGACTTCTGGTTTTTATATTGCATTATAAATAATGATTCAGCAAATACTTATGAAGTACTTTCAAAGAACTAGGCACTATGAATATATAGCTCATTTAATTAGTCATTTGATAACTGTTTATTGAGTATTCACTATATGCCAAGTACTGTGTTAGGGACAGGACTCCTATAAAAGAAAAGAATGCTGTAAGGAAGACATAGCTATGAAAAGAAAGAAACGAATAAGGTAAAGGAAAGCCCAATCTCAAGTGAGGATTTAAAAATTTTAATTGGAGATTCAGAAACATACTGAAAGCTTAGGAAGAAAGAAATGAGGGTGGGGTTAAGGTAGTAGGGTACAGTAACCAATGGAGCAAAACCCAAAGCAAACATGGGGGGAGGGGAAGTATGGAACAAGACATGGATTTTCCTTTTAAATAATTTCTTATCTCATAAGGAAGCTGACAAATATATAAAACCATTTTTAAACATAGAAAATGATAAGCATTTTAACAGGAAATCTAGAATATATAAAATTCTGAGTTAGTCTGAGAAAAAAAAGTCAAATTTGGATGACTTCACATCATCTGAGCACAGTAAAAATATTAGCCAGAATTCTAAAAAAAGTGGTAGTGCTGCCTGACTTCAATCCACCGTGAATAAAAACATCCTCTGGGTGACACTAGGAAACTTCTCATTGTTTGAGCCTCAGACTAAGAACTCTGTAACCCCAAGCCTTATGACTCTTCAAGTCAAAGTGTTAAATCCTTGTGAAGGTCTAAAACACAACCAGAGTAAAATTTCTGGGGTAAGATGGACAAGTAGGAGCTATTTAATCATTTTAAAATAAAATTTAATTCACATAAACATAAGGGCAAACAGTAAAATGAGAAGTGTTGATGAAAAGACACCTAGTGATCTCTTTAATAAATTAGATGAGATCTTTAAGGAGCAGGATACAGTGCCAGTAAGAAGAGGAAAAAGAAAAAGTGTTGATAAGACAGCTGCTATAGGGGGAGAAAGGAAAGAAAGAAATCCATGTCTGCACTTAACAGCCGCGGAGGACAGACTAAGTGTGCTGCTCAGATCGAATGCATCCCTGACTTAAATTGTTCTATTATTCTGAAAACAACAGGATATTCAAGGATCTTGTCGGACACTAATTGGAAACAGAAGCCCAAACCTTTAATTGCTAAATGCTTGGTGAAGGCTGGTATACAAAATACTTTTTCCCTTCTGTGATTGGGAGTTTATTCCTCAGTGGACTGCTTGAGTGTTTTGAGAAGGAAAGTGACAGGATCAAAGCAGCTTTACAGGAAGGCTAAATGCAACAGTGATATACAGGATGAATGAAGGAATGAAGTGGGAAGACCGGAGCATAAAAAAGTGATTAAAATCCAATTATAAGTTAGGAAATAAAGATCTGTGGTGACAGATGAACTAGGGCAAAAAGGGAGGATACTGATCTTGGTACATACTTGGATTTGAAAATCAATGACAAGGGAGACACTGGAGAAATGAAATTGTATCATTTAATGCAATTTTAACAAGTTGAAAAAATCTGTTTTGGAGTGGTGAGGAAAGATAGAAGATAGATTTTGGTTAGAGTATAAGGTACTTGTAACACTCTACAGGTCACTAGGCTGAGATCCTAAGGATGAATTACAGATTCTTATTTGGGAGTCATCAGTGGTTCTCAACTGGGGTCAGTTTTGCTCCCCAGGGGACATTTAGCAATGGCTGGGGACATTTCTGGTGTCACAGCTGGGAGGATGGTGCTATTGCAGTCTGGTAGGTGGAGGTCAGTAATGCTGTTAAACATCCTCAATGCACAGAACAGCCCCTACAACAAAGAATCATTTGGCCCCAAATGCCACTAGTGCCAAGACTGAGAATCCCTGCTCATAAATGTCATAGTATATTAGGCATATCTTGTCCAATCAATGCATGTAGTGTATTCTTGTTCAATTTATAGAAAATAAAAATAGTAATAAGCATTTATTGAATCTTACTCTATTTCAGGCACTATACTCACATTACATGGTTTATTTAATTTTTTGAATGCTTTGAGACAGATATCACCTTTATCCTCATTTAACAGGTTAGGAAACTGATCCACAGAAAAGTTATCTACCAAAAGCCACATAGTTGGGAAATTTGGAGGCCCAGACTGCAACCAAAAAGTCCTTTTCCAGAACCATGATTCTAACCACTAAGATGAAACATACAATGATTATAGGTATGGTATCCTCAAGCCCAGTGCCCAATGGTAGAAAAGAGAGAGAATTACACAGAGCAAAAACACTTTTCTCCCTTCATTTTTCTCACACACACACACAAATCAACTCTCAAATATTAATAGCAATGTTTTTTTTCTGTATCACAGAAAATTCCATTGTGCCATTGATACATTTCAGAGCTCCTCCTGGGGGAGGGTTTCATGTGGGACAGGGATACCTTGAGCACCATCTAAAGCAGCAGGTTTGACAGTCTTAGCGTTTTGACATGTGGGTGTGGCCAGATGTATTTTATCTAATTTGCGAATAATAATAAAGAGCCAGACTTTCCTAATGACATAATTTTTACCATGTAAATTAGAACGGAATAAAAGTCCTATAATAATATATGTCACGTTTTCTTACTTTCCAATATGCTTTTCTGAATGCCAAAGAGAGATATAAAATTAAAGCTAACGACATTGGGGGTGTCACTGGATGTTTACATGTGAATGGCGCTGTTATTCAGAATATAAAAATATTTGTTGGAATTACTGATTTAATAGTTAGAATGTATTCACCAAGAGAACCATTTAATTCCTCAATTGTGACTTTCAAATCATCCACTTAAATATAAATTACACAAGCATTTCTCATTTTATCAAACTAGATATGCACAGTTTTTTAGTACAATTTGTTCTCCATTTGGTCACAAAGCTAGAACCCATTTCTCTGAAGTACAGTGGTTTCCAAATTTTTAAAACAGTGTACTCATTCTTCAAATTTATTAAGAAATAAAAATATCCATAAGAAAAAAGTTGAAGAGAGACATTCTGAAACCATGATAGGGGAGCAGGGGTGTTAGGATAAACTAGAGAGAGGGGGTCCAGAGATCTACTCATTTGGCATCATTGATCTACCCATCAGGCAGCAACTTAGGCAACTTTGGGAGCCCCACAGAACACAACTGTAAAAGGATTATCCAATATATTTTAGGATAATTTAGATAATAAAATTATTATAACTCTAAAGTCTTATAAGTATATTAAACTTGTAGGTCTAATTGATATTTTTCTGTTTGAAAATGTGATATTATATAATATGCATTTACATGTCATTAAATGCTACATCTCATGTGCTAAACTTGAATTATTTATTTTCAAGTGGTGTACAGTCTCCTGAGGCACTCAGTTTCTGTCTCTGCCTGTGGGTTATATTCATCTCTTGACCATTTCTGTCAAAAATGCAAATTTAGCTAGTGGGAACATGCTATAAAGCACAGGAAGCTTAGCTCAGTGCTATGTGATGACCTAGATGGGTGGGAGGGAGGTCCAAGAGAGAGGGGATATATATATACGTATAGCTGATTCACTTCATTGTACAGCAGAAACTAACACAACATTGTAAAGCAACTATACTCCAATAAAAAAATGCAAATTTAGTTTTTACTATAAAAAGCTAGAGCCAATTACATTTAATGGACTTTTAAATGTAGTTCTCTGACACAACACTTAATTTAAGATGGACAGTTTTACTCTTTTAAACTGTATTTTGAGATTATTTTTGAGCAATGATGTATTTCTTTTGATTGTTCTCTTATTTTCTGATAAACAGTGACTGTAATAAATCTTGATCCTGCCTTTGGTCTAGATATTTAGTAGCTGTGTACTTGTTTTCTATAATAGTGATGCACATTAATATTTACAACCGTTTTCCTTTGCAGCATCTCCCAGATGGCTCCACGCCCAGTGCACATGTTGAATTTTATCTTTTATCATATCCCAGTGCAGTTCGGAGGAGGAAAACAAAATCTGTTCCAAAATGTACCGACCCCACTTACAATGAAATTGTAAGTATGAGTCAACTCTTGTCCAGTCGTTTTGTATTTTTCTTACCATTTTTCAGTTTAACCAAATATGGAAAATTTCCAGTAATTGGCAGCATTATTCCATAAAGAGAAGTCATTTCCCAAAATAGCCACTGTCTGCTGATCACAGTTCTTGATGCTATAGGAACTGGAAAATACAGATACTGCTTTCAAAGTGCTTATGAACCAAGTTTCAAATTGTGGCTAGCCTCCAGCGAGAGCCCAAGACTTTACAGCATTTGTTCCACCTACTAACATTATCCCTGACTCTACCTTATTTTCTCTAACAAGTTTTTCTTTACCTGGTTTTCCTTACCTAATAACTTTATCATAGTCTAACCTGTGTATAGTAATAAACTTTATAAAATCTCTTTTGAAAAACTGAAAAATATAAAGAAGTACAAATTATATTGAAGTAATTTATATTATATATAGCTCTCTAATTCATTTGTAGTATATGATTTGAACATCTGATCCCCTAATTCTTTCTAAGGCAAACCCTACATTTATTCTCTTGATTCCATCCTTTCCCATCTCCTCTGTACCTTGCTCACTTAATTATTTGCTCACCTTTTCTTAAGGCTGTCTCATCCACTGGATCCTCAACTCAGAAATCTTAAAAAAACAAAACAAACTCTTCAAGTCAGCCTTTCTAAAGCATCCAAATTTTCTTTCCCTCGCTATCACCTCCAAACTTTTGCAAAATTAACACATTTCCTGCTCTCAGTTCATCACTTCCTTCTCACCCTTTAATCCTTTGCAATGTGGATTCTGACCTTGACTGATGCTGTTTTATTCAAATGGCATCAAAAGACTCCTAATTGCTCAATCCAATGAGCCATCAGGCTCTCCTCTCCAGAACAGTTAGACGGCAGCACTGTTAACTGCTTCCTCTTTCTTTACACCTCCGTTTTGCTTCTTAAGTTCTACCTTTTCTCTTTTTTTAATCAACATAATTTTTATTGGAGTATAGTTGCTTTACAGTGTTGTGTTAGTTTCTGCTGTACAGCAAAGTGAATCAGCTATAGGTATTACATATATACCCTATTTTTTGGATTTCCTTCCCATTTAGGTCACCACAGAGCACTGAGTAGAGTTCCCTGAGTTATACAGTAGGTTCTCATTAGTTATCTATTTTATACATAGTAGTGTATACATGTCAGTCCCAGTCTTCCAGTTCACCCACCTGTCCTTACCCCCCTTGGTGTCCATGTGTTTGTTCTCTACATCAGTGTCTCTATTTCTGCGTTACAAATAAGTTCATCTGTACCATTTTTCTAGATTCCACATATAAGCCATATTATACAGTATTTGTTTTTCTCTTTCGGACTTATTCATTGAGTTCTACCTTTTCTTAATTCCCTTCTGTCTTCTCTAACCACTCTCTCATTTTCCTTCATTGCCATTCTTCCTCTGAAAATATTTATTTGCTGGAGTTCCATGACCTACCCTCATCTCTTGATATATACACTCAGAAGTATCTTATGTATCTACAGATTTTCATTTATCACTTGTAGGTTGCATCTGAATTTATTCCTCAAGCCCTGGCTTCTCTCCCAAGCTTTAAACCTGTACTTCTACCTGATTATTAAAGAGCCCCTTTAGGATGCCTCCTACGCACTTTTAAATCAGGCTTTCCTCCTCTGTTTGCCATCTCCTCGGAAGAAACTTTCTAATGACGTCACCCTCTCCCTCACTCCCAAGTCCAGTTAATCCCCAGGTTTTGTCAGTTCTACTTGTGCAGCCACCTGCCTCTTCAATCCATCTTCTCCTCTGGGTCCCATCGCTACTTCTTTGTTTGAAGGCCTTGCAACTTTGGCTAATGTAAGAGCCTCCTATCAGCCTCCTATCTTGTGTTTTTCAATTAAATCATTCAAATTTCTATCTAAGGTGTCAAAAACTACTCATATTATTCTCCTACCTTTTTTCAAATGTTCCTTATTGCCTACTGAATAATATCCAAAATCCCAAGTGTGGCATTCACAGCCTTTCAAATTTGACTCAGTAATTTTCCTGAGCTGTCTCTGGAGCAATATCATCCTTATATACTTTTTCAAAAAATTTTTGTTTTGAGGTAATTGTAGATTCACAAGCAGTTGGAAGAAATAATATACAGAGAATTCAAATACCTTTCAACCACTTTCCTGCAATGGTAACACTTTGCCTGACTACTGACAATATCACTACCAGGAAATTGACATTGATACGATCCACTGTCCCTATTCCGATTTCTCCAGCTTTACATGTGTTCTTATGTATATGTGTGCATGTTTAGTTCTGTGCATTTATATCACACGTGTAGGTTTGTGTGATCATCCCCACAGTCAAGGTACAGAACATTACATCACGGTGATTCCTGGTGCTACCCTGTTATAGCTGCAGACACTCTTCTCCCTCTAACGCCCCATCCCCAAACCCTGGCAACTATTAATCTATTCTCTATCTCTATAACTTTGTCATTTCAAATGTTATGTAAATGGAATCATACAGTTTGTTACATTTTCACTTACCATAGTTCCCTAGAGATCCATCGAAGTAGCTGCATGTATCAATAGTTTGTTCATTTTCACTGCTAAGTAGTAGTCATGGCATGGAGATATGACAGTTTCTTTAACTGTTTACCAATTAAAGGACATCTGGGTTATTTCTGGCTTGGGGCTATTGCACACAAAGCTGCTGTGCTGGCTTCCCTGGTGGCGCAGTGGTTGAGAGTCTGCCTGCCGATGCAGGGGACACGGGTTCGTGCCCCGGTCCGGGAAGATCCCACATGCTGTGGAGCGACTGGGCCCGTAAGCCATGGCCACTGAGCCTGCGTGTCCGGAGCCTGTGCTCCACGACGGGAGAGGCCACAGCAGTGAGAGGCCCATGTACCGCAAAAAAAAAAAAAAAAAAAAAGCTGCTGTGCACATTGATATATAGGTTTTTGTGTAAACATAAGTTGTAATTTCTCTAAGCAAATGCTCAAGATGTAATTACTAGGGTATATGATAATGCTGTACCTAGTTTTTCAAGAGACTGTCAAACTCCTTTTCTATACCATTTTACACTCCCACCAGCAATGTTTGTGCCAATTTCTCTACATCTTTGCCAGCATTTAGGGTTATCACTGTATTTAATTTTAGTTCTTTTGAAAGGTATAGAGTGATAGCTCATCGTGGTTTTAATTTGCATTTATCTAGTAGCTAATGATGCTGAATTGTTTTCATGTGCTTATTTACCATCTGCATACCCTCTTTCATGAAATGTCTCTTCATGCCTTTGTTCATTTTCTAATTAGATAGTTTGCATTTTTACTCATTTTTACTGTTGGCTTTTGAGATTCTTTATATACTATGGATAACGGTCCTTTGTCAGATGTGTGGTTTGCAAATATTTTCTCCCAGTCTGTAGTCTGACTTTTCCTCCTTTTCTCACGGTTTTTCATAGAGTAAAAATTTTCAATTTTGATGAAACCCAGTTTATCAATTTTTTTTTTCTTTTGTAGACTGCATATTTGGTGGCAAGTCTAAGAACTCTTCACCTAGTACTAAGTTCTAAAGATTTTCTCCTATATTTTTTCTAAATGTTTTATAGTTTTATATTTTACATCTAAGTCCATTATTCATTTTTAGTTGATTTTTGAAGGAAGTGTGAGGTTTAGGTTGAGGTTCACTTTTTTTGCCTATGAATGCCAGTTATTTCAGCACCATTTATTGAAAAAGCAGTTCTTCCTATGTTAAATGTCTTTTACACCTTTGACAAAAATAAGGAACGTTTGTTTGCTCATGCCCTTCCACTGCCCCATACTTAGTCATATTCTCAAGTCACATCAGACAGCTTGTCACTCCCTGAATAATCCCTGTGACCTCTGTGATAGAGCTCATGTAGCTGTTCACCCTCCTGCCCTTCTCTGCCAACTTTGAGATTTACCTCAAATATGGACTCTGTGAACCAGTCTCTCTTCCCTGTCTCTTAACGCCACATTTACCATCTCTTATTTATTCCTACACAGACTTTTTTCTTCTAGTGCATTGAAAACTTCTTGAGGACAAGGAAAATGTCTTAGCTTTCTCAGTATCTTTGAAACTTAGCTGCTTCTAAAAAGATTTGTGGGATTAAATATTTGGGATAGTTTTATAAATGACACTTTATGTGTACGTGTATAAAATGTAAAACTATCAAAACATTTATTTATATTCAAATAATAGATACTTTAGTAAGGAAATATATTTTGACATTTTATTATTTATTTGTCATGATGTCAACAGCTAGAGGTATATACCTCCCAACTATATATCCCTAGTTTCCATACGTTCTGGGCATAAGACCCCCCTACATCAATATCAAGAAACTTCTCAGACTGCATGCTGTACTTCAGCATTTGTATCTAAGGAAACACATAATGATGAAAAGCCACTAACAATCCAGGAGTTTAAATAAATTTGTGTTTTATTTATCTCAAGCTATATGTACTATAAAAACCGGTAGTAAATGCACATGTGTGGAGATTATTTTATGATGCTTGCTGTGTCCATAAATTGTCTCACGGCTTGCAATAATTCTGAGTCCTCACACATTCATGGCCCATTGATTAGAAATCAATGCAATACTTTTCTCCATCAGCACATACTTGTAGCTTGGACACACAGTGTTTATACACTGAACACATTTAAAATTGTTTCGAAAACAATAGTTCAGGGCTCCCCTGGTGGCGCAGTGGTTGAGAGTCCACCTGCCGTTGCCGGGGACACAGGTTCGTGCCCCGGTCTGGGAAGATCCCACATGCCGCGCCACCAGGGAAGACCGAACCATTATTTTTTTAATGATTCATTAGAAATACAGATTCTATTTTAAAACAGAATTATATTGTTATAGTCAATGTATATTGTACACTGTATTCCTTTCTTTTTTTCTATTGAAGTATAGCCAGTTTACAATGTTCTGCGAATCTCTGCTGTACAGCAGTGACTCAGTTATACACATGTAGACATTCTTTTTTTTTATATTCTTTTCCATTATGGTTTATCACATGATATTGAATATAGTCCCCTGTTCTATACAGTAGGACCTTATTGTTTATCCATTCTATATATAATAGTTTACATTGTATTCCTTTCTTAGATATTATCCTACTTAATTAAATTACCCTAAACAGTGTTTTTCTACTTGATGTGACAATTTCAGACCTACAAATTCAATGTTTGTCAGAAGGCAATGAAGACTTGACACATGCCTATGGGTAAAAAGTATTATAAAGTGAAATTAAAAGAGCTGTGCATTTTTGGTTCTGTTTATGTTAAGGCAGAATACATATTAAATCATTTGGTGAAAAGACTCAAAGAATATAATCATCTGTGTACTTCTCTAGCATTACCCACTAATTATTCATTGCATTGGAAGAAAAAGGCACTTATTTTTTTTAAACAACATTATGGATGCAGTAAAGCAATTAGAACAGATATATATATATCTTCTATAATGTACAATGATTACATGTTTATAAAACCTCGGTTACTTTCAGGAAAATAGCTTTTGCATAATGAAGCACAGGGGAAAAAAATCCATAAAGCAATATAAACTTAGGAGTTCAAATGTTTGTATTTTAACCAGGAAGGCAATTAATTCCTGTCATTTATTAAAGAATTTCAGCTTTTTAAATACCTGGGAGACTCAGTATTGTGTACAACTGTTATCTCCAGTCAGGGAAGGCAAAATACCAAGAAACAGCTGTTCTTTTTGTGTGTATTTGATGGACCTTTTTCAGCTGTAATTCATTAGTGTTTACTGTGTATCAGGCTTTGTAATAAGGCTTATATTCATTATCTCAGTTATTCTTTCTCACAATGCCAGAAGGTAAATATTATCACCATATTCGAATGAGAAAACACATTCAGATGGCCCCCAACTTAGGATGGCTCAACCTGAAACTTTTTTTACTTTACGATGGTGCAAAAGAGATATACATTCAGTAGAAACCATACTTCAAGTTTTGAATTTTGCTCTTTTCCCAGGCAGGATACTCTTTCCTGATGCTGAGCCACAGCTCCCAGTCAGCCATGCAATCACAAGAGTAAACAGCCAATATGCTTACAACCATTTGGTACCCAGACAACCATTCTGTTTTTCACTTTCAGTACAGTATTCAATAAATTACATGAGACATTCGGAGCACGTTTAAGGTAGTTAGGCTAAGCTATGATGTTTGGTGGGTTAGGTATATTAAATGCATTTTCGGCTACAGTATTTTCAATTTACCATAGGTTTATCAGGATGTAACCCCACTGTAAATGGAGGAAGAACTGGAGTTGACAACAGATTTATATAAATATGAATCACTGATACTGATATGTTTCTAACAAAGTTACATCTTTAGCACTAATTTATATGATTCACAGAGTTCTTAAACCAGACTTTTCCAAAGGCCTAATGCTTAGAATTATTCCATTTTTCTTCACACACACTAACACTTCGAGGGCCCTTTCGTCTACTTTCTCTGTAAAATAGGAGATAAGTTCATCTGCTGAACGTGTTGTGGGGAGGAAAATGGAGGATAATTTAGACAGTTCAAAATAACCACTGTAGAGAAAAGGAAAGGAACTTACTCTGAAGTCCTGGGAAGATAAGCGTTCAGGAGACAAGAGTGGTTCACGGAGTCCACGCTGAGCATCCCTTTGCGATGAAAGATGAATTACATTGGTAGGCTTCTGAAATTTTTAAGGCAGACCTTAAAATCCTTTACTATCCAGAGGAACTCAATAAATTAAATGGAATAATTTGAATAAGCTTCCCTAGAAATTTAAAAGGTAATCTCCTGTCTGGAACGGGAGCAGGATTCTGGAAGAGTCGGTAGCCAGGAGATGTCACACGAAGCAGGGTAGACTGGATTAGCATATTATATTGTATCTCATTCCCTTGATTGAATTATTATTTACTTGATAAGTAAATCATTGTTCTGAGCAGCTAACAGATAGATTGATATTGAATGGAATTTCATTGATAAATTGATGGGTTCATAAACGGTAGGCAAATGCAGTACGATGGGCTAGAAATTGCATCCATACACACTGAGCAGGCCTTGCAGTGGAGTCCAAGGCCTTTCCTCTCAATTTGTTTCCTCTGATTCTGTTTTGCATACATAGAGAACACTTCTGTCTATCTTGTAGTTTAGCTGTAAAAAGCAAGCATGTTTGTATCATCATATGAAACTCCTCCAAATGTGTTATAAGGAGTTTCCTTGGCAACCATGTTGGATCTATACACAGCTCTCCCCTCCTTTGATGTATACCTAATTTCTTGATAGTACTACACTTTTAAAGCTTCTTTACCACTGCAGGCACCCAGTGGTAATGCCTGTGACTTATTTCTTGGATGTTATAAAACACAGTTGAACACCTCTCTTTTTTAAAAATAGTTACATGACTAGTAAGTGAAAAAGAGAAAAACACAAAACTATACACACAACATAATTACAGCTCAGATTCTTAAAAAGTAATTATATATAGAAAACAAAAAACACATCAAAATGATTATCTCCTAATGGTAGAAATAGAAATTTTTCCTTTCTTTTTTATTCTTTTTTTGTTTCATCCCCGTATTTTATTTAATGAGCATATATTTTCATAACTAAAAATTAAACAATTTTAAATAAAGTAACCATAGAGCGACTGCTTCACATGTAGAAGGAAATACTGTACTACATTAAATTAACACACGGAAATCATGGAGATTGGTCTGCTTTCCTCATTAGCCTTCAACAAAGAAAGACAGTGTTCAAGGTCCCATGTTGCACAACAAATCCAAGGACAGTTGAAAGGTGACAGGTATTTAAATTTATTCCTAGAGAATGATTTACAGTCTTATTAAATTTGGGATAGACAATTTTTAATGCAATCAGAGTAAATTCTAAGCTTCTTAGAGAAATATTCTGTCGTTAAACTCCTTTATGTTAGCAGAACCTTTAGCTCTTCAGAATTAGAGTTAGAAATGAAAGATTCTAACATTAACGTATCCATTCCAAGGTACAAGATATCAGTGTGCAAATATTTTTGTTAAAAGCAGTATTTTTTAAAAGATGCATTTAAGCGTATCTGATTTTTATTCTCTCCCTTTTTAGGTAGTATATGATGAAGTCACAGAGCTCCAAGGACATGTCTTAATGCTTATTGTAAAGAGCAAAACCACCTTTGTAGGAGCAATTAATATCCAACTCTGTAGTGTCCCACTCAAGGAAGAAAAATGGTATCCACTAGGAAACAGTATAATTTAAGCATTGCTATGAACATACGCATTCATTACTCGTATTTCTTTCACTTCGGGGCCTCTCTAGCACAAGATCAGGACATTTTTGTTATCAAAGATAGCATGGTGGGGAACTTCCTGGCGGCGCAGTGGTTAAGAATCCACCTGCCAATGCAGGGGACACGGGTTTGATCCATGGTCCGGGAAGATCCCACATGCCGCGGAGCAACTAAACCCATGCGCCACAGTTACTGAAGCCCGCGCGTCTGGAGCCTGTGCTCCGCAAAGAGAAGCCACCGCAATGAGAAACCCACACACTGCGACGAAGAGTAGCCTCCGCTTGCAGCAACTAGAGAAAGCCCTCTCGCAGCAACAAAGACCCAGCGCAGCCAAAAATAAATAAATTTAAAAAAAAAAAAGGTAGCATGATGGTGTACTAAGGACACAAAGAAAATAAATCAGAATCAGTCTTTTATAGTTAGTTATTCTCTACCTGTGTTTCATTGTTTTCTTAGAACCTTTTTTCCAATTGATTGTGTAAAATTCAATGTATAAAATAAAAAAAGGACATTTAATGGGTCTTTTAAATCAAACATGTGTTCATGTTTTATGTGCCTACAGTTAAAAGCAATACTTTAAATGTATTTTCCAAAAAAAGACAAGCAAATAAATAAATCTTATCAATTACTTCAACACCTAAGTATATCTGTAACAAATTTTTAAAATTTGAATTAAATACATATACCTACATATCCACTTATAATCTTATTTATTGAGGGGATTAGTAAGCTCTAGAAGAATGCTGTATTAATTTCTGTCAGAAGAAACAAACATAAATGCCTGAAATTCTTAAATCCAATTTTTGGAAGAAACTTTGTAGTTTTTCACCCTCTTCAGCACCAATCAATTCATCACTGGATTTCACCCAAACAGAGGCATTACCACATTTTAAACTTCATTATCCGCTAATTCAAAGATCTCAAACTCTGCAGCTCTCCCCTCTGATCAAAACCTATTCTCTGCACAACAAAAAGTTTTCTTACTTCTGAACCTACTTTCATATTCATCATGACCAGAGTAAACAATCCTGCAGATTTCCACCTGCAAAGTAGGTATAACTCAAGGCACTATGCCACATTCTTTGAGAGAATCAAATTGTTTTTTAAAAATTTCTTCCAATTAAATTACTAAAACTCTTGCTTTACTCAGTGTTTTCCTGTATGTCGATAAAAAAGTAATTTAAGCTCTTTTTATATGGTTATCTGCATAACGATGTAAACATATAAAAGACTACACTTATTCATTGAAAATATTTCAGTGCCTGGTATGGGTTGATGTAGTCTCGTTTCAAACACATGATCATGTGAGTCAAGTAAGCCATAATGCTCTGGACAATGGTTCTATGTTTCAGGTCCACTCACTCTCCCTTTTCTAACAGATAGTGATTCCACACCCTTCTTTCTGCTGAAACCTCATCACCCTCTACTGTAATTCTCACTCTCAGCTGATTACTTTGTTTCCTACTTCACTTGGAAACTGGAATCAGTCAAAAGAAAACCTCTACATATTCCACTAGCACATCTACCTGCCCAGCAGATTCCATGTTCCTCCTTCCTACTTACTATCGTGGAAAAATGACCAAGCTTCTACCCAAAACCAATCTCTCAACTTGTACATTTGATCCCAGCCCCTCTCACCTACTCACAAACATTACTGAAACTCTCCTCTATTCAAAAGCATCATTTCTTTATTCTCTACTGGATAATTCACTTCGGCACACAACCATGATGTTACATGGTTACATGATGGTACAACCATCATAAAAAACTTCTTGGCACCTCCATCTCCCTTCCAAATACTCATCCAATTGGCCTGATCTTCTTTATAGCAAAACTCTTCAAAATTGTTGTCTCTAATCTCTGCCTCCAGTTTCTCTCCTCTCATTTTCTCTCAGACCATTCCAAGCAGGTGTTTGTCCCAAACACTTCAACAAAACTGCTTTTGTCAAGGTCCCTTCTGACCTCCACATAGCTAAATCCAAAGGTCAATTTCCAGCCCTGATCTGGGCTTACCTATCAGCAGTATTTGACACAATCAATAACTCTCTTTCTCAACACTCTTCATTTGGCTTCCAGAACACAACACCCTTTTGTGCTTTCCTTCTATATAACATCAGTCCCTCCTTCTCAGTCTTCTGTGAAGGAGGATCCCCTTTTCCACAGTCTCCAGTGTTGGAGTGTCCAGGACTTACTCCTTGGTCCTCTTCTCCATCAGCTTTCACTCCTTAGTGACCTCATCTATTTTGATGGCTTTAAATATCATCTGTATGCTGAGTATTCCCAGTTTCCCAGTTTTATAACTTCAGCCCAAGGAGTGGCCAAAATAGTGGAGTAGGTAGACTCTGAACTCAACTCCTCTCACAGGCACACCAAAATTATAACCACATACAGAGCAACTATTCATGAGAACAATCTGAAGACTCGCAGAAAATATCTATAACTAGAGATATAAAGAAGGAATCACAATGAGATAAATAGGAGGAATGGACACACAGTATACTCAACACCCACACCCATGGGTAGGTGACCCACAAGTGGGAGGATAATCACAGTTGTAGACATTCCCTCCAAAGATCAAAGAGTCTGAGCCCCACATCAAGCTCCCCAGACCAGGGGCCCTGCACTGGGAAGATGAGTCCCCCAAAACATCTGACTTTGAAGGCCAGCAGGACTTGTATTCAGGAGAACTGCAGGGCTGTAGGAAAGAGACTTTGCTCTTAAAGGGCCCACACAAACTCTCACATGCCCTGAGGCCTAGAGCTGAAGCAGTGATTTGAAAGGATCCCAGGTCAGACCTACCAGTTGATCTTGGAGAGCCTCCTGGAAAGGCAAGCTATAACTGGAACTCATCCTGGGGACATAGATGCTGGTGGCAGCCTTTGAGAGTTTGTACTATCACAAGGACACTGGTGCTGGCAAGAGCCATTTTGGAGTACTTCCTCTAGCTTATTAGCACCAGGACCTGGGCCCACCCACCAGCAGCTGGCAGCCACTGCACTAGGCAGAGCTGGCACCAACCAGGCTGGGGGCCAGTCATGCCCACAAAAACTCTCACAGTAGGTGGCCCCACAACAACAGAAGGGCCCATTCAGCCCTCACAGGGGGCACTCCTAGAGTATATAGCTCTGGTGATAGAGGGGAGTGTGCTTCTGGACCCAATAGGATGTCTCCTACATAAGGCCACTTTTCCAAGACCAGGAAATATATCTGACTTACCGAATCTGTAGAAATAAAACAGAGAGTCAGACAAAGTGAGGTGGCAGAGGAATATTTTTGAAATGAGGGAACAAGATAAAACCTTAGAAGAAGAGCCAAGTGAAGTAGAGATAAGCAATCAACCCAATAAAGAGTTCAAGGTAATGATTATAAACAACTCAAGTGAAGAATGGATGAACACAGCAAGAATTTCAACAAAGAGTTAGAAAATGTAAAACACTAAACAGAACTGAAGAATACCATAATTGAAACAAAAAATACACTAGGAGGAATCAACAGTAGATTACATGATACACAGGCACGAATCAATGAACTGGAAGACAGAGTAGTGGAACTCAATCAATGTGGTACACACCACATTAACAAACTGAGGAATAAAAATCATATGATCATCTCAGTAGATGTGGAAAAAGCTTTTGACACAATTCAACATCCATTTATGATAAAAAACGTTCAACAAAGTGGGTATAGAGGAAACATACCTCAACATAATAAAGACCATATATGACAAGCCCACAGCCAACATTACAGTAAAAGCTGAAAGCATTTTTTCTAAGATCAGGAACAAGACAAGGATGCCCATTCTCACCATTTTATTCAACATAATATTGGAAGTCCTAGCCACAACTAATCAGAAAAGACAAAGAAATAAAAGGAATCCAAATTGGAAAGAAAGAAGTAAAACTGTGACTGTTTGCAGTTAAGATGATACTGTATATTGAAAATCCTAAAGATACCATCAAAAAACTATTAGAACTCATCAATGGATTCTCTAAAGTTGCAGGATACAAAATTAACATAGAGATCTGTTGCATTTCTATACACTAACAATGAACTACCAGAAAGAGAAATTAAGAAGACAATCCCATTTACAATTGCATCAAAATAATAAAATACCAAGGACTAAATCTTACCAAGGATGTAAAAGACCTGTACTCAGAAAACAATATGATATTGATGAAAGAAAGTGAAGATGACACAAACAAATGGAAAAATACATTGTGCTCATGGATTGGAAGATTTAATATTGTTAAAATAACCATATTACCCAAAGCAATCTACAGATTCAATGCAATTCCTATCAAAATACCAATGGCATTTTTCACAGAAGTAGAATAAATAATTTTAAAACTTCTTGAGTAGCCAAAATAATCTTGAGAAAAAAGAACAAAGCTGGAGGTATCGTGCTCTACAAAGCTACAGTAATCAAAATAGTATGGTAGTAGTGACTCAAAAAAACAAACCAAAAAAACCCCCACATCAATCAATGGAACAGAATAGAGAGCCCTGAAATGAACCCACACTTATACGGGCAATTAATCTACAATGAAGGAGGCAAGAACATACAATGGGGAAAAGACAGCCTCTTCAATAAGTGGTGTTGGGAAAACTGGATAGCCACATGCAAAAGAATCAAGCTGGACTACTTTCTCATACCATGTACAAGGATAAACTCAAAATGGATTAAAGACTTAGTATAAGACCTAAAACCATAAATATCCTAGAAGAAAACATAGGTAGTATGCTCTTTGACATTGGTCTTAGGCTCACTGTTTTGAATCTGTCTCCTGAGGCAAAGGAAACAAAAGCAAAAGTAAACAAATGGGACTACATCAAATTAAAAAGTTTTTCACAGTGAAGGAACTATCAACAGAACAAAAAGGCCACCTACTGAATGGGAGAAGATATTTGCAAATGATATATCTGA